GGAGGGAGGGAGGGAGGGAAGGAAGGAAGGAAGGAAGGAAGAAAAAAAAAAATATACACACACACACACACACACACACACACACACACATATATGTCCATGGGCCGGGCATGGTGGCTCACACCTGTAATCTTAGCACTTTGGGAGAGCAAGGTGGGCGGATTACTTGAGGCCAGGAGTTTGAGACCAGACTGGCCAACATGGCAAAACCCCATCTCTACTAAAAATACAAAAATTAGCCAGGCATCATGGCACACGCCTGTAATTCTAGCTACTGCGGAGGCTGAGGCATGAGAATTGCCTGAACTTGGGAGTCAAGAGGTTAGAGTGAGCCGACATCGTGCCACTGCACTCCAGCCTGGGCGACAAAGCGAGATCTGTCTCAAAAAAAAAACCAAACAAGGAAATTTTATGGAGTTATAACAATATTCTGTGTCTTTATAGGAGGGTGGGTTACCTGAGTGTGCATATATTAAAACTGATCAAACTGTAAACTCAAGATGTATTTCATTTTTGTAAATTATACTATAATTTTAAAAAATACATTTGGGCCACTTAAGAATATACCATGGAGGCCGGGTGCGGTGGCTCATGCCTGTAATCCCAGCACTTTGGGAAGCCGAGGCGGCGGATCACTTGAGGTCAGGAGTTCGAGACCAGCCTGGCCAAGATGGTGAAACGCTGTCTCTACCAAAACTACAAAAATTAGCTGGGCATGGAGGCGGACACCTGTAATCCCAGCTGTTCAGGAGGCTGAGGTAGGAGAACTGCTTGAACCTGGGAGGTGGAGGTTGCAGTGAGCTCAGATCGTGCCACTGCACTCCAGCCTGGGCAACATGAGCTATACTCTGTCTCAAAAAAAAAAAAAAAAAAAAAAAAGAGGCCGGGCGCGGTGGCTCAAGCCTGTAATCCCAGCACTTTGGAAGGCCGAGACGGGCGGATCACAAGGTCAGGAGATCGAGACCATCCTGGCTAACACAGTGAAACCCCGTCTCTACTAAAAAACGCCAAAAAACTAGCCGGGCGAGGTGGCGGGCGCCTGTAGTCCCAGCTGCTCGGGAGGCTGAGGTAGGAGAACGGCGTAAACCCAGGAGGCGGAGCTTGTAATGAGCTGAGATCCGGCCACTGCACTCCAGCCTGGGCGACAGAGCGAGACTTCGTCTCAAAAAAAAAAAAAAAAAAGAATATACCATGGAACCTGATATGATTGAGAACTTTAATTTAAAAATTTACACTGCATAAAAAAGGTAAATGCTGTCATTTCAGGTGATCAGTTGATAATAAAATGTCTACAAACCCAAACTGAAATCATGCAGTAATACATACATTAATTTTTAGATAATCATTAAAGGCCACAGAAAATGTAACAGAGCCTACTCTTCAAAATAATTGTTACTCAGTATTAAAATAAATAAAGTGAAAGGTGTTGGAAAGATAGAGGAATTGTCAGGAATACCAAGAAGTGGGAGACTAGTATGAATATCCACAAATTAATTTGTATTAGCAAGAAATAATAATGCTTACATCATCAGATCCAGTCTCGGAAGGCCTTGCTTTTTTGGGCGCAATGACAGGGGAAAGTGATCCTTCAAAGTCAAACTGAAAAGCAACCCCAAAAGAAAAGATAAAAATCATAAACTCATTCCTGTCAACTGATCAACTTAAAGGATTCAGAAATCAGTTCTGCCAATTATGGAAACTGAGGAAAGCCATCAAAACTCATTTTTTAACTGGAAAGTCATTATTTAAATACCTTTCTTCTAGATTACTGTGAAGATGAAATGAAATCATATTAATATGTGCAAACATCTAGAACGGTGCCTGGGCTCCTAAGTACTGATTTTAATGGTAGTTTCCTTCCCTCTCCTACTTCTGTAACGACACAGATCACATCACATCTTTGGTAGAAAAAGAAACATATATATTTGGTGGAAAAAGGCATATCCACAATATATATATATAGAAGTCTCAAAGGATCAACCCAATATCAGTCAAATGTTAGAACTAAGCAAACATTTATTTACAGTCCATATACAGTAAACTACCTAACAATTATATGGTAGAGACAAGCAGCTACTCTGGAAAATCTTTGTTCTCCTCTTTCTCCTGAACCCACAGCCAGACTACACACATACCCCTGCCTCCTCTGAAGTTAGGTGTGACCCTTTGACAGAGTTAATTATAGATGGAAGTCACTGTCACCACTTCCAGGACCAGTCCAGTCCTATACCTGCTCCCCCAGACTCTTTGCCCCTTCCACCTGACTGGGACGCAGTCAACCAGTGGCAGTCTTTGAACCGAAGAGAAAAGATCCTCCATCAACCTGGGTTCCTGAATAACTATGTGGCCTGTTTATCTGCTAAGCCCTGTTATGTAAGCAAGGCAGACATTTTGTTTGAGCCATTGTATCTTTTGAGGCCTTTCTATTACAATAGTGAGCCTATCTTCTAACTAATACAACTACATAAAAGCAGTTTTCTACAAGTTGCTCTTCTTCAATTTCCCCTGGCATAATCTTTGCTGCCCCAGCTACTTCACATGGGCACTGACTATCAACTAATAAACTGTAACTCTTTAAATGGCAATGGCTATTTTCCTATGCTAAAAAACTTACATATTTATCAACTCACTCACCTAAACGGAGCGGATTTCTATATAAAAACTAAACATAGGTAGCAATAAAGTGATTTTTAAAACTGAATGTTATTGAGAGAGGTTTGCTTGTGAAGCATTCAAATAAAAAACAGCCCAACTCATACATATTATAAAAAACCTGGTAGTAACAGTGAAATCAAAGCAACAAATAAAACAGTAGCTATCTTACCTAAAACTTCAACCAAAATATAACACACACAAAGTCCCACAGTCAAAACGAATGTCCCTGCTATAATTATCAGATTCATAAGGCCTGGAGTTATGAGATAGTAGAAACTGCCTGATAAGGATGGCTCTTTGTACCATACATGGATCTGCTTAATCTTCATTCTTTCCATGTGTCTCAGGTTAGCCAACCCTGTTATATGCTCCTATGGACCCCTACCCTTCATCTATCGTAACACATGTATCAAATATTATTTGTTTCCCCCAGGACAGTCAATTCCAGAGGAACAGTCTGTTTTGTTTAGGGTATATGTGAGAAACCTGGCATCATGCCTGGCCCACAGCAGGGATTCAATATTTAGCTAATGAAAAAAAGAGCAGCCCAAAAGCTACAAAAAGTTAACCCCAAATACAACTGTTCCTACTATGTACAGTCCAGTGCGCTCATTTAACACATCAGCAAATTAAAGAAAGCACAAAGAAATGCCAAAAATTGTGTAACTAGTCGTTGGCAGAAATTCTGTACTCCACAAAAACAAAAAGAATAAATCTGAACAAAGCAAAATGAAAACCATTTGCCAATGAGGACCGTTTCATCCTAAGCTTTGACTATGAGGACAAAAGATAGCAAGGGTTTAACCATGCAGTCCTATAAATAAATGGCAAAGCAACTTGGCCTCAAGAATTGATTTCCTTATTCCTTCCTTTATAATTATCATGCAATAAGTAAGTCAAAGAGCCATGTCCTTCTTTGCAAAGGAAAAAATAAGTAGGTGCTCAGTCCTCCCCAAAACATGGAAACGCGAGGGGGCATAGGTTCTCTGCCAGAGACTAGGACACAACAACCTGTATTCATCAACAAGTTCCAAGGACAATGATATACAGAACTACAGAAAGCTGACGTGCTTTTACATAATGTAGAAATCTACAGTTTCTATGAGGCTTAATCTTTTCACATGTAATAAAGAACAGAAAAATTGAAGATAATGTCACGTTGATACAATTGTTTAAAATAAGAAAAGAAGGCCAGGTGCCGTGGTTCACACCTGGAATCCTAGCACTTTGGGAGGCCAAGTTGGGAGGATCACTTGAGCTCAGGAGCTTGAAACCTGCATAGCCAACATGGCGAAACCCCGTCTCTACTAAAAATACAGAAATTAGCCAGGCATGGAGGTGCATGCCTGTAATTCCAGCTACTAGGGAGGCTGAGGCACAAGAATCGCTTCAACTTAGGAGGCAGAGGTTGTAATGAACCAAGATAGCGCCACTGCATTCCAGCCTGGGCGACAGAGCGAAACCCCATCTTAAAAAAAAGGAAAAAAAAAAAGAAAAAAAATTGTCCCTATTTTCTCGTAAGATTTTTCTCAAGGAAATTGCAGAGGGCAATTCCTTCATGTGCTGAAATAGACACAAACTCTTAAAAACAGTATCTCACTCAGATGGAAAATGGCATCCACTCACAAATGTTCACTCAGTATCCTTCTATGCCAGGCAATACCACAGGTCCTGGAGAAAGAAAGTAGTAAACAAAACCAAGCAAAAATCTTTGCATTCCTAGAATTTACATTCCAGCTGGGGGAGGAGGGACACAAAACAAAACAAGTAAAATATATACTATATTATATTTAAGTGAGAAGAAAAAAAAAAACAGGTAAATGGCACTAAAGGTATGGAGGCAGGTGTAATGCTACATAGAGAGACAGGAGGCAGCACTGAGGTGACATCTCAATAAAGACCTAAGCACATCTTGTCGGAGAGGCAGGGAAGCATTCTCCACAGAGGTAACAGCAAGTGCAAACACTCAGAGGCAGAAACATGCTGGCAGTGCTCAGGGAACAGAGCTGAGGCCAGTGTGGCTGGGATGACATGTGCAAAGCATTAAAAAATGAGACCAGGAAGGTAAGCAAGGGCTAGGTCACATGGCATCTTGTAAGCCTATGGCCTTTACTCTGAGTGGCATGGGAAGTCACTGGGGGATCCTACGCAGACGCGCGACTAACATAACCTGACTTCATCAAACAGGATTACTTTGGCCACTGGACTGAGAAGAGACTGGAACAAAGACAAAGGACATGAAATACAAATCAAAAAATAAGAATTATAAATAACTGATGAAACTTTGAAAAAAAATTCTCATTCACTTATACAGAAATAAGATAAAATTTCCCAGTAAGCTAGCAAAGGTTCACCACACCACAAATAAACACTATGGGGAAATGGCACTTGTAAATGATGCTGGTAAGAATGTCACCTGGGAACCCCTTTCCAAACATTACTTGACCCAACAGTCTCTCTTTTAAGATTCAGTTCTTGGAAAGTAACTAGAGATGTGGTTAAAGAGTCGTGAAAAAGAAGGACAGGCGCAGTGGCTCACGCCTATAATCCCAGCACTTTGGGAGGCCAAGGTGGGCCGAACACAAGGTCAGGAGATCGAGACCATCCTGGTTAACAAGGTGAAATCCCATCTCTACTAAAAGTACAAAAAATTAGCGGGGCGTGGTGGCGGGCACCTGTAGTCCCAGCTACTCGGGAGGCTGAGCCAGGAGAACGGCATGAACCCAGGAGGCGGAGCTTGCAGGGAGCCGAGATTGCGCCACTGCACTCCAGCCTGGGCAACTGAGCGAGACTCCATCTCAAAAAAAAAAAAAAGATTCGTGAAAAAGGATGTTTATAAATTACTCACAACAAGGAAAACAAAAGATTCACAAGGTACAATTATTAGCTATGGGTTAATTATGACAAAACTACACTATGATGAAATGATGGAGGTTTTTTAGAAAAATTTTTTAATGAGATGGGAAATTTTCATTGATATTTGTATATAGAAGGTAACTTCAAAAATGTTTAGAGTGGTTATCTCTGAGTAGTAGAATTATTTTCTTAATTCCTCCATTTTCCACATTTTCCTTTTATAACTGAGACAAAAGCAAGTTTTAAAAATGGATTTGCTGTACAAGGCTAAAACGTATAGAATGGAACAGCTGAGTTACCTGGAAAAAGGGTAATTACAATCTAGAGTGATTTTTTTCAGAGTGACCCAGGCAAGGTCGTCCTGCGAGGGATCTCCAGAGCTAGAAAGAGATCACCAATACTGAAGACACCACTCTGCTGATTTTGTAAATAATCTAATAAGGGCCTGTAAGGATGTTTCTGGGGGAAGAGGGTGAGAGATAAGGCTTTATACCATTGACAGAGTAGATACTCAGGCTAAAGTACTTTAAATCCCCCTCAAATCAAACCTTCCTCCTCACATCCCAAACAACATGTCTGTAAAAAGACAATCTTGTCTTCAGAAAACAACGTTAAACAAGGAGTCAGAAGATGCAGTCTAGTCATAGTTTTTTTAAAAAATCACAGATCTGTGATTTCTTTGTGATCCAGTTTCTTCATCAATAAAACCAAGACTATCACTAATCCTAGCATAACTTGCAGTCATTTTACAAAGGCAAAATAAGAAATAGTCATATATGCTTTAACATTCTAAAGCTCAGTAATTATAATTACTAGTAAAACGTTAATATTAAATATTAAATGAGATTTGATTTACAATATATAGATACAATAAACCTTAATATTATTCTATTATTTTGAATATGGTATGCCAATGTTACATTACCAATTATGCAAGCATTACATTAACAGAATAACTCATAAAGAAAACAATTGTATTTACTTACATTTCTAGTCCATGCTAAGCGGTCTGTGTTATAACCCATCATGTTCATGAGACAAGTCACAAATAAGTTCCACTCTGAGTGATAACTGGGTCCTCCTGGAGCACTGTGGACATTGTACCACTTGACAAGCATCTGAACTGCTATTTCTTTTGGCAGGATACACTTAATTGCTTGCAAACACGTTTGTACTATTAAAAGCAAAGATTAATTTTAGTATTCTTACTCTGCATGCATTTCTTTTCCCTTTCAATAATCAAGTTTTTAAATTTCTACTAAGTAAAGGCCAATTATTATGAAAAGAAAACTGTCACTAAAGAGCCAATGAGATGCAAACATTACCTAACCAATCATCTGAAACTAAAACCAACTATTGAATTCAACAGGGCTTGAAAGAGGTCTGAAGACAGTTTTTTTTCTTTTTTCTTTTTTTTTGAGATGGAGTCTTGTCTGTTGCCCAGGCTGGAGTGCTGTGGTGCGGTCTCGGCTCACTGCAACCTCTGCCTCCTGGGCTCAAGCAATTCTCCTGCCTCAGCCACCAAGTAGCTGGGATTACAGGTGTCTGCCACTGCGCCAGGCTAATTTTTTGTATTTTTAGTAGAGACAGGGTTTCACCATGTTGGCCAGGCTGGTCTCGAACTCCTGACCTCGTGATCCGCCTGCCTTGGCCTCCCAAAGTGCTGGGATTACAGGTGTGAGCCACTGTGCCCAGCCAAGGACAGCTTTTTGATCATTAATTTTGAATCAGAAATAAAGTGACCAAATAGCCCAGTTTGCCAGAGACAGTACTGATTTACATCCATTGCCCCAGCAATTACTAACTGCTCCCCCTTTCACTCTAAAGATGTTCTACCTCAGGTGACAAATTAAAGGTCACTATGGGCCAGGCGCGGTGACTCACGCCTGTAATCCAAGCACTTTGCGAGGTCGAGGCGGGTGGATCACCTGAGGTCAGGAGTTCGAGACCAGCCTGACCAACATGGTGAAACCCTGTTTCTACTAAAAATAACAAAAATCAGTTGGGCACTGTGGCGGGCACCTGAAATCCTAGCTTTTTGGGAGGCTGAGGCAGGAGAATCGCTTGAACCCGAGAGGCGGAGGTTGCAGTGAGCCGAGATCATGCCATTGCACTTCAGCCTGGGTGACTAGAGTGAAACTGTCTCAAAAAAAAAAAAAAGTCACTATGAAAAACATACAACTTCTATGTTTATACATTTATATAAATACTGCTTAAATACTTCAGTAAATATATAATATTCAATATATGCATCCACAAATAGCAATGCTTAGCTAGCATTACATGATGTTCTAAATGAGTAAACATGCCTATGAACCAAAGCTTTATAACTTTTATTTCTGACATTGTTCAGTTTCTAAAATGTTTCACATGCTCTCTGCCTTAAAAGGGTTAAGAGTTAATACCACATAATTTACACCATTCTGTTTTTGGTAAAGGGAAACGGGGTCTTCCTCTGTCCCCAGGCTGGAGTGCAGTGGTGCAATCATAGCTCACTGTAACCTCCAACTCCTGGGCTCAAGTGGTCCACCAGGTCAAGCTTCCCAAGTAGCAAGGACTACAGATACATGCAGTATCTGTATGTATACAGTATCTGTATCTGTATACAGATACTACAGATACATACAGATAGCACGCCTGGCTAATTTTATTTTTCTTTTTGTAGAGACAGAGTCTATGTTGTCCAGGCTGGTCTCAAACTCCTGGACTCAAGCAATCCCCTCACCTCAGCCTTCCAAAGGGGAGGGATTACAAGCACAAGCCCACCACACCTGGCTTTATACCATTCTCAATGGCTCCACGTCAATTATAGCACTACACTGGCATACAATGAGCCCCTCAGAGTGGCCAGGGCTACCACTGTGAAGAGACCCAAATCTACTTTTAGTAGTAAATAATCCCAAACTGCAATGTTTTTGTACTCACATATCCTCTCTTCCAGGATTCCTTTTTCCCTTTCCACTGTCATGCCACTGGGCCCATCCTCAGCAACACATCCTCTGTCCCATCAGTTTGCAATGTGCACACTCACACAGCACAGATTGGAAGCAAATAATATTAAAATACCAAATAACCAAGTATGTCATAGCTGAGTCCAAAATAAGCGTAAATCCAATGCTGCATGAGTGTGTGAGAACCCTTTGTAGGTGAAATACATAAACGTATGTACATAAGCTATGGGGCTTCTGTTTGGCTATAAAGGGGTAAATTTTTTTGTTTTTATTTATTTAATTTCCTCCATTATTATCTGTTTTTATATATTTTGCTTAGGCTTATAATACTTCTAGGTACCTGGCCTTGTGATTATGCAATACCTTTTAGAAGGCAAGGAATCTCTATATCAACTTGGAATACCATTTACCACCCAGTGAAAATTCCTAAAATGAAAAAGTCATTCTAGTCTACAATCTGCCAATGTCCCGCTTTGACAGTTAGATTTTGAAACCAAGAGATGTCATGAAGTTCCTTATATCATACAGGCATTCTTTTCTTAACCTACGTTTGTTGGCAAATCCCTTGAATTCTAATATTTTGTTTACTATTCTATGTTCAGAAATACTCTCCTCTAGCACTTTGAAACTGCATTTCAGGAATAATTCAAGCAGAATCCAATATTTATTAAGATAATTCTGACTGTATTTTGACAATAATACTAAGTTTTATTCAATTAAGGCAATTACGTTAATTTCACAACTTATCTGAAAATTGAGATATTCAAGATTAAAAACATCATTAATACATTACAGAAAAAAAAAAAACATTAAATATGCCAAGAAATATCCTAGTTGCTTAGGCTTTGTTTCCCAGATGTTCTTGCAAGAGGCAAGTCCATATATGTGTGTGTGTGTGTGTGTGTGTGTGTGTGTGTATACATATATATATATTTTTTTTTTTTGAGACAGAGTCTCACTCTATCACCCAGGCTGGAGCGCAGGGGCATGATCTTGGCTCACTGCAACCACCGCATTCCGGGTTCAAGCGATTCTCCTGCCTCAGACTCTTGAGTAGCTGGGATTACAGAAGTGCGCCACCACACCCAGCTAATTTTTGTATTTTTAATAGGGACAGGGTTTCACCATGTTGGCCAGGCTAGTCTCGAACTACCGACCTCAAGCAATCCGCCCGCCTCAGTCTCACAAAGTGTTGGGATTACAGGTGTGAGCCACCATGCCCAGTCAGCATGTCCATATATTATTACACTGCATTATATTCCTCAACAGAAGAATCTCAGAGGAACAGAACCAGCACATCCTTCACCTGTACTCCAGCCTTAGAGCACACAGAGTAGACATCACAAAGCACTCCCTAGCCCTTTAAAGCTCCTCTACAAAGCTAAGAACTTGATCCAGCGGCTTCAAAAATGGCAAAATAGTGTTTAAAACCCCAATTATTAATGTAAATCACAATTACTTCATGTCTTAGAAATGAAACTTCTCAGTCGTACCTAACTCAGAGGTGGCAATTTCAGGAATAGTGATCCTAACCATGGAGCCGTTACTCAGTTCCTAGATGGAAACAAATCAGAAAGTAAATAAGATCTGTGCATTCTAAGTCTTTGAATGTCTTAAAAATAGCTGGTACAAGACTTTGCCTATCAAAGCAATAAAATAAATGAAAAACAATTTCAAACAGAAATGAACACTTCCAAATTTCAGAAACTTTAAATGTAATTATTTGCAAAATGCTTTCCAAAATGCTTGTTTTAATAAAAAGTGTCTAATCTTTATACAGTGAGTCACCATCATCAAAAGGACATTTACTTTTAATGAAAAGACAAAAAATCATATCAATATACAACTCAACTGACTCAACAAGCTTTCATTTTCACTGTTTTTAAAAATACAGAAACTGTAGAAAACAAGCAGAATTACTGTATAGTAAAAAGTAAAATAGTGCCAAAAAATGACACAATAGATTTTTTTAAATCATGAGAAATGTTTGTTGTCATTTTTCAGATAAAATTTTCTATTCTGTCAAATTTGAAATGTCAGCCCACCTCTTGGAAAGCTACCAAATGTTTATACTTACTAGGGTGACTCTGTTATGGACAGGATCTCTGATAGAATGAATGTAAGTTCCAAGTTGTTGGAAAGTACAATCCTCATTATAGAGAGAATCATGAAGTTTTGAAGAATCCCTCAGCTCTGGAACCGGCGACAACAGAACAACCTGTAAAAAGTCATAAACATAACACAAATGAATTGTTTTCTGAGAAATTAAGGACAAGGAAACTTAACTCTTTCTTTTTTGCACATGGTCTAACAAACAATAAGATGTAATGATTTAAAAACATTCTGCTCCAAGCCAAGCACGCTGGTGCGCACCTGTAGAATCCCAGCTACTGCGAAGACTGAGGCAGAAGAATCACTTGAGCCTAGGAATTTGAGGCTGTAGTGAGCCTGTGAATAGCCACTGCCCTCCAGCCTGGGTGACACAGCAAGACCCTGGCTCTTTAAAAAATTTGGTTCCAGATACAATGAAGTACCAGCAAACCAAGGTCCTCACAGAAAACAACTAGAAAAGGTAGGTAAAAGGAAAACATCTAATTGATGGCTGTGGGAAAACTGTGGAAGAAACCTGGACTTGAGGGACCAAGATTTAGGAGAGAAGGCAACTGCAGGGAAGGGGGCCAACATTTTCATCTGAAGAAAGCAACTGCAGGGAAGGGGCCAGCGTTCTTGGGGAACCTTGCTTTTCCTGCTCTGGCCATCTGCAAATTTTGGTGGTAAGAGGAATATATGGAAAGGCTGACAATATGCAAGGAAAGCCATAGCTAAGAGGGAGAGAAGCCAGCAGCACCGTTAGCAAGCTTACAGGGCTAAAGACTAAACTGTGGGCCGGGCACAGTGGTTCATGCCTATAATCCCAGCACTTTGGGAGGCCGAGGCGGGCGGATCACTTGAGGTCAGGAGTTCAAGACCAGCCTGGCCAACATGGTGAAACCCCATCTCTACAAAAATACAAAATTTAGCAAGGCATAGTGGCAGGCGCCTGTAGTCCCAGCTATATGGGAGGCTGAGGCAGGAGAATTGCTCGAACCCAGGAGGTGGAGGCTGCAGTGCAGTGAGATTGCACCACTGTACTCCAGCCTGGGCAACAGAGCAAGACTCCATCTCAAAAAAAAAAAAAAAACTAAACTGTGATTTGAGGCAGCTGAGGCACTAAGAGCCCAGGAAGAAAGGACAATAATGAAAAAGCAAACAAATGAGACCAGCATTTCGTGGCATTTCCCTTATAGGCAATTATTTACTCAAAAATACAGCAACAGTATGTATTTGCTTTACTACAGATATGCAAACAAAAAATTTAAATAATCTTAGTTACTATCTACATGCAGATGCTTCCAATCTTAATCTCCAGTCATGACCACTGATCCTTTTTTGGTTCCTTTAATTCAATTTATATATCTCTAAGTGAATATCTTGTCAACACTGACAATCAAGACTAAGATGTATTTATTCTATTCCAGATTCTACTCTAAAAGTCACCAGGAAAAATTCAGCTCCACTGGTCCTGGCTCTAAGTCTACTAGCAAAATCTTCCAGAGAAGTGGAAAAGCCATCAGCCAATGTGTTAGACTATTATTTCCATGACCTTACACCTATCAAAAAGGCACTAATTGTTACTAGGCTTACAGAATTCTAAAAAAGTTGGAAATCATTTTCCATTATAAAAGAAATTCTTCCGAATCACACAAAACACTCTGACACTTCTCCAGTTCCCCTTTGAATGTTCTGCAAATGTGCCAGTGTGAAGGAAAAAATTCAATGTTGCACATGTTTAAAAATATAATGAAGACACAGACATTATCGAATACAATTGATAACAATAACCTTCCCTTTGAACTGTCCCTAAACATCCACACTCACATGTTCTTTAAATACACACCACTTTTCTCCAGGCTTCCTAACTTGGTAAATCCAGGTACCTTCCCAGGTCATTCAGAGAATTCGGAGCCTCATGTGACATCACCTTTCCCCAGCCCCGGAGCACAAAACCAATCAGCTGTCAAACTCATTTCTATGTCTCAAGGCCTCTCATGTGATTTCCTCCTTTCCACACATATTCAGACCCTCTTCATACTTCTTACACTGACACAGACAACCTCACTTGGAGGCTAACTGGTTTCCTTATCTTTAATCCCAAAATACACCTATCTACAACACAGATCCAAAACCTCGTAACTCCTTTCTCAAAATCCTGTAAGGCCCTGGCAATTGCATTCAGAATAAAACCACCTTTTCATCCTTTCTTCCTTTAAGAGCACATTAGTAAGAGTATAAATCCCAGTTTTACCACTTATTAGGTTTATTTCATTTGTAACCTCTCATTTGTTAAAAAAAAAAAAAAAAGATTCATTTCACAGTAGTATCTTCTCAATAAAGCTGTTCTAAGGAAATAATACTAATAAAGCACTGAGAACAATGCCTAGCACATAGAAAATGCTCAAAAAAGAGTATTGTTATCCAAACTCTATCCTGCCACACCCTACTTGTACTTTTATAAGTATTTATTCTACAGATTTATTGAGTCCTTAACTAATGATTAGGAGATGAAGATACAAATATCCATTAAAAAATGTTCCACATTATCTGGCCTTCCTGCCTGTGCCTGTGTGATTCCTCCTTGCCCTGAATGTTCCTTTCTACCTATAGATATCCTACTCATCCCCAAGGTCCAAACCAAGACTGACAGCCTCAGAGATGAGGCTTTGATTTTGCCATGTCCTCCCATTGGATGTTATCTTCCCATCAGTCAATCAACGATGGTACTCTCTTTTCCTCATTCGTAAGTCATGAGTCTTTCTTAAATTCTAATTTCTTATGCAGACAGTATATCAACTCCACACAATTGTGAGACCCCTAGATGGAAAAGAATGTATCACTTCCATCTCTCCAGCACCTTCAAAAAGTATCACACACATCACAAGGGAGGTCAATGTATGTTAACTGAATCACTTCTGTTTGAAAACATTTATTCTCCAAGTACTAATTAAAATTAAGTTAACCACGGAAAGAACTAATATTTGACCAAACTTCTTTAAAAAATGTTAACTTTCTGACAACACCTAGTCCATTTCTTACCTCATCCAATGATCCAAGGAGTTTACTAAGAGGCTTTGGAGTACTAACGCCGTCAAGTGGAGTACTGGGCCGAGGCATTGTGTTGGACATCGTCAGAGAAGGAGCTGGCAGTCCAGGAATAAAAACCTTTCCCACCTTTAAGCAATAAAAACATGCGGAAAAAAATATTGCTTTTAATGCATCATATCCTTAAATAAAATGTTAAGGAATGTAAACATATATTTCTTTTGATATTTCTAAGTTTATGCTCACCAAACACAACAAAGAAACAATTCAAATGTCAATAATCTATCCAATTCCACCATCCAACTGCAAATATTTTGGTATAATTTTGGGTTTTGTTTTTGGTTTTGGTTTTTTTGAGACAAGATCTCACTCTCTCACCCTGGCTGGAGTACAGTGGCATGATCTCAGCTTACTGCAGCCTCAACCTACCAGGCTCAAGTGATCCTCCCACCTCAGCCTCCAGAGTAGCTGGAACTACAGGCACATGTCACTACACTTGGTTAATTTTGTATTTTTTGGTAGAGACAGGGTTTCACCATGTTATGCAGGCTGGTCTTGAACTTCTGGGCTGAAGCGATCTGCCCACCTAGGTCTCCCACAACTTGGTGTAATTTCTCTTGGTTGGATTCCTTCTCTTCATTACTGAAGACTTTTTTGCAGGCAAGGAGGGGAATGTTAATATAGTCAACACATTCTACAAAAATCTGTACACTATGCACTCTTCTACCTTTTGGTCATAAAGACAGTAAGAACACTAAGCTTTCAGAGACTATAGGCAACAATCTTAGAAGTCTCAAACCTTGAGAGAAAGAGCACCAATTATCCCCCAGGGGCTTAGAAAATAAGGTCAGATAATGCTCAAGAAATTAAATCCAAACTATTCAAATTGCTCTCCAGCACACAATCTGCCTTCAATAATAAACTCTCAATTATTTCTTCCTCAAAAATACTCTATATAAATTAGAATAAATTCTTTGATCTTAAAAAAAAAGAGTCGGCAGGGCACGATGGCTCATGCCTGTAATCCCAGCACTTTGGGAGGCTGAGGTAGGTGGATCGCCTGAGGTCAGGAGTCCAAGACCAGCCTGGCCAACATGGTGAAATCCCATCTCTACTAAAAATACAAAAATTAGCTGGGCGTGGAGGCATACACCTGTAGTCCCAGCTACTTGGGAGGCTGAGGCACGAGAACTGCTTGAACCCAGGAGGCGGAGGTTGCAGTGAGACGAGACTGTGCCATTGCACTCCAGCCTGGGCAACAAGAGCGAAACTCCGTCTCAAAAAAAAAAAAAGAATGAGTTGACAATTCATGCTAACCACTCCTTATTTTGGCTATCTGTAGGGTACTTAGGAAAAACAGAAATTCACATCTATACAGGCTGAAAACGTGGTAAGACTAAAAAGGAGATGCTCAGAACTAAAATGAGATCTTAACAATATACATATTCATGTTAATACACTACTCAAAAGCTAACAAAATAATAGGAGTTGCACCAATAAAATCCTTAGGCTTAAAAAACAAAAATAACAGTGAGAACTAGTTATGCATAATTTTTTAAAAGCTATCTCAGACCCCTAATTTATGAAAAGATGGGATAAGCACATACCATGCTATTTCCCCCATTAATCACCAAAAAGAAAAAAAAAACTGAAAAAAATTTATAATGCAACTAACGGAAGATTCTGAAAAAGTAAAGAAAAGGAGACCAACTGGCTAGTAACCTGAGACCCAGGAATGACCTAATGATGAATTCCCTAGGTTTTTGGTTTTTTTGACTCCTTACATAACCACGCCTCAGGCTTTCAAAGTGTCTGCAACACAGACATTCCAATGTTCACAGACAAAACAGGCACTAAGAAACTCTTACTCTTTCCAGCCAAAGTGTTGGGAAAAGAGTGTCCAATCAGGACAGAAACTTTTCACTATACCTGCCCTACTCTTTGCAAACACCAAGAAAAAAGTCATGGCCCTCCCTTCCTCCTCACCAGGAGACACAGTGAAAATTTTGGATGTCCCTCATCTATTTGAGGAAGTCCCCTTCTATTTCTAGTTTGCTGAGAATTTTTTTTATCACAGATATTTGATTTCATCAAATGATTTCTCTGCATCTATTTAGATCCTTGGTCAGCAAACTATGTTCCATGACCAAATCTGGCTTGTATCCTGTTTTTGTACAGTCTGTGAGCTAAGAATAGGTTTTACGTACTTAAATGGTTAAGGGAAAAAAAAAAAAAAGACAAATATGTAACAGAGACTGCGTGTGGCCCATAGAGGCTAAGATAGATACTTGTCTGAACTCCTACATAAAAAGTTTGCCAGGCTGGGTGCGGTGGCCCATGTCTGTAATATCCCAGCACTTTGGGAGGCTGAGGTGGGAGGATTGCATGAGTCACAAGGTCATGGGTGCAGTAAGCTGTGATCTGACCACTGCACTTCAGCGTGAGTGACAGAGCGAGACACTGTATCAAAAAAAAAAAAAAGAAAAGAAATTGCCAAGGATGGAGAGGACATGAACAACATTATCAACCAAATGGAATGAACTGACATTTATAAAATATTCAAGGGTGCCTTCTTGGTGATTTGGCCCTTTAACTAAAGTCTCTCTTTGTTCCTGGTCATTTTTTTTTCCCACTTTATAGTGACTCCAGCTATCTTTTGATTATTGTTTGCATAATATATCTTTTTTCCATCCTTTAACTTACCTATGTCATTATATTTGAAGAAAGCTTCTTATAACCAACATATATAGTTGGGTGGTATTTTCTAATCCCATATGCTAGTCTCTGTTATTTGTGTTAAACCATTGTATTTAAATAGTGGCCTAGTGGGATTTAAATCTGCCATTTAATATTTGTTTTCTGTATATTCCCACTTTCTTTGCTCTTCAAGTTTGATCATAAGATTCTGGCAATTCTGTTCAAGTTTGGCAATTCTGTTCAGGTTTAATCATAAGATTTTGGCAGTTTAGTCACATCTTAAGGCTCTACTTCTAATTCTAATTATCTTGCTATTTCCACCACATCTGCAGTGACTTCCTCCACTGAAGTTTTGAGCCCCTCAAAGTCATCCATGAGGGTGGGAACCAACTTCTTCCAAATTCCTGTTTATGTTGATATTTTGTCCTCCTCCCATGAATCATGAAGATTCTTAATGGCATCTAGAAAAGTGAATCCTTTCCAGAAGGTTTTCTTTTTCTTTTTCTTTTTCTTTTTTTTTTGAGACGGAGTCTTGCTCTGTTACCCAGGCTGGAGTGCAGTGGCACGATCTTGGCTCACTGCAAGCTCCACCTCCCGGGTTCAAGCCATTCTCCTACCTCAGCCTCGCGAGTAGCTGGGACTATAGGTTCCCACCACTACCCCCGGCTAATTTTTTGTATTTTTAGTAGAGACAGGGTTTCACTGTTAGCCAGGATGGTCTCAATCTCCTGACCTTGTGATCCGCCTGCCTCGGCCTCCCAAAGTGGGGGATTACAGGCGTAAGCCACTGAATCCAGCTCGGAAGGTTTTCAATGGACTTTGCCAGATCCCTTAAAGGAATCACCATCTATGGCAGTTCTAGTTAAATAATGTATTTCATAGTAAGACTTGAAAGTCAAAATTACTCCTTCATAGTCTGCAGAACAGATGTGTCAGCAGGCATGAAAACAACATTCATCTCCTGCACATCTCCCTCAGAGATCTTAGATGACCAGGTGTACTATCAATGAGCGGTAATATTTTGAAAGGAATCTTTTTTCTGAGCAATAGTCTCAACAGTGGGCTTAACATATTCAGTAAACCATGCTATAAGCAGGCGCGCTGCCATCCAGTCTTTGTTGCTCCATTTATAGAGCCCAGGCAGAGCAGACTTGGCCTAATTCTTAAGGGCCCTAAGATTTTTGGAATGGTACATGAGCACTGGCTTCAACTTAAAGTCACCAGCTGCATTAGCCCCTAACAAGAGGGTAAGACTGTCCTTTGAAGCCAGGGACTAACTTCTCTCAGGTTATGAAAGTCCTAGATGGCATCTTCTTCCAAAAGAAAGCTGTTGCATCCACACTGAAAATCTGTTTAGTGTAGCCACCTGAGTCAGTTATCTTAGCAGCTTCTACATCAGCACATGCTGCTTCACCTTGCACTTCTGTGTTATGGGGAGGGTTTTCTTCCTTAAACCTCAACAATCAATCTCTGTTAGCTTACAACTTTTCGTCTGCACCTTCTTCACCTTTCTCGGCCGTCACAGAATTGAAGAGAGTTAGGGTCTTGCTGTGGATTCCACTTCAGCATAAGGGAATGTTACGGTTTGTTTGATCTTCTGTCCAGACACTAAAACTTTCTTCATATCGGTGAAAAGGCTGCTTCGCTTTATCATTTGCCATGTTCACTGAAATAGCACTTTTAATTTCCTTCAAGAGCTTCTCTTTTGCATGAACAAGTTGGCTCTCATGCACAAGTGGTCTGGCTCTCAACCTATCTCAGCTTTCAACATGCCTTCCTCACTAAGCTTAATCATTTCTAGTTTTTTTATTTAAAGTGAGAAACTTGTGATTCTTCCCTTCATTTGAAAACTTAAGAGGCCATTACAAGGTTACTAATTAGTCTAATTTCTTTTTTTTTTTTTTTTGAGACAGAGTCTGGCTCTGTCGCCCAGGCTGGAGTGCAGTGGCACGATCTCAGCTCACTGCAACCTCCGCCTCCTGGGTTCAGGTCATTCTCTTGCCTCAGCCTCCCAAGTAGCTGGGACTACAGGTACCCGTCACCACGCCCAGCTAATTTTTTGTATTTTTTAATAGAGACGGTGTTTCACCGTGTTAGCCAGGATGGTCTCGATCTCCTGACCTCGTGATCCACCCGCCTCGGCCTCCCAAAGTGCTGGGATTAAAGGCATGAGCCACCGCGCCCAGCCAATTAGTCTAATTGCAATATTGTTTTCTCTCAGGATATAGGGAGACAAGAGGAGAGGGACAGAGACAGGAAAAGGGTCAAATGATCAGGCAGACCACACAAAACATTTATCAATTAAGTTCCTCATCTTATATGGGTACAGTTCATGGTGCCCCAAAACAATTCCAATAGTAACATCAAAGACCATTGATCACAGATCATCATAACAGATAAGCTAATAACAAAAAGATTTGAAATATTGCAAGAATTATCAAAATATGAAACATAGACACAAAATGAGCACATGCTGCTGGAAAACTGGGACCAGCAGACTTGTTCAACACAAAGTTGCCACAAACCTTCATTCTGTAAAAACAATATGCAGTATCTGTGAAGTACAATAAAACAAAGCACAAAACGAGGTATGATGGAACACTATTAAATATATACATAACACTGAATGAGTAAACAACACTACGCATCAACAAATCTAAAACAAATATAATATTGAGCAAAATAAGTACATCAGAGGAGAATACACGGTATCTTTTCTATATAAAAATTCAAAAACAAGGAAAACTAAATAATTCATCTTTTAGTGATACATACATAACTGTAAAAACTAGTAATATAAACAACTGATTTATCACAAAATCAGGATTCTTCTATCTCGAGGGCAGGGGAAGATGGGACACAATCAGAAAAGAACATAATAAAAATAAGGATACTGGCAATATTCTATTTCTCAACCAGCATACTGGGTATATGAATATTCACTTCATTACTATTCAAATTGCATGTGTGTATTTAAATTTCATAATTTAAATTTGTAAAATGTACATTCTCTGTGTATATTTCACAAATGTTAAAAAAATACAGCTAACATATACATTTAATATAATGAAACTTTACCAGAACTTTAGTACTTACCAAAGGTACCCATGCTTCAATTTCAAAACTAGTTTAACTTAAAAAAAAAAAAAAGTTTCCCATCTGTGACAGGTTTAGAGTGCCAACGCATTTAATAGCAGTGAACCATAACCCTCCAAATTAGGACCAACCTGAATGGGAAGCTGCACTGAGAATTATTAACAAAAATCTTCTGCCAAATTGTGCAGGCAGGAACATAACAAATTTAAAATATCAATCTAAAGTAACATTAAAAATATTCATAGAGGCCGGGCGCGGTGGCTCACGCCTGTAATCCCAGCACTTTGGGAGGCCGAGGCAGGCAGATTACGAGGTCAGGAGATCGAGACCATCCTGGCTAACACGGTGAAACCCTGTCTCTACTAAAAAATACAAAAAATTAGCCGGGTGTTGTGGCAGGCCCCTGTAGTCCCAGCCACTCGGGAGGCTGAGGCAGGAGAATGGCGTGAACCCGGGAGGCGGAGCCTGCAGTGAGCTGAGATGACGCCATCGCACTGCAGCCTGGGCAGACTCCGTCTCAAAAAAAAAAAAAAAAAATATTCATAGAGGCAGTCTGAAGTCCTACTAAATGCATGGAGTGCTATTTTTTGCTTACCCGAACCACTCCTGTGTATAGCACCAGGTTTCCACTGCCTTCCAAGACCAGCATGGTGTCTATTTTCTAAAAAAAAAAAAAAAAAGACAAAAAATTTATTTCCCAATCTGAGCAAATTAACAGATTTTTTGACTGAAAAATCTGAGGCATAATAATTTTCAACTTCTCAAATGTGCCTACATTACCTCCACTGGTGCTGCATCCTTTGCTGGTATGTTGGTCACTGAACCAAAGATGAGCTGGGTTTTATCATTACTCTCTTGAAACTTTACACAGCTAAATAATGAAATAAAAAAGAAACTTGATACATGCAACAACCTGTATGAGTATTAAAAGTATTATGCTGAACAGAAAAAGACAATCTCAAAAGTTTATATACTGTATGAGCCCATTTATGTAACATTCACAAATGTCAAATTATCAACATAGAGAATTAGTGGTTGCCAGGGTCGGTGGGTAATAGCGTATGTGACTATAAGGAGTTAACGTAAGAGAGACAAAGATGTTTTGTATCTTGATGGTGGTGGTTTTTACATATATCTACACATGTGAAAAAACTGTATAGAACCATATATACACATAAATGAGCACAAATTGATGACATTTGAAATAAAGTGTGTAGATCATCTATTTCCTGGTTATGATAATGTATTATATAGTTATATAAGAGGTTACCTATGAGGGAAAAAGAATGCAAGGTATACAGGACTTGTTTACTATTTTGTAACTGGCTGTGATCTATCATATTTCAAAATATGAAGGTAAATAAATGGGCAAAAGATCTGAATAGATATTTTACCTAAGGAGATAAATGAATGGCTAATAACTTTATGAGATGATCAACATCAGAATGCATTAGAGAAAAGCAAATGAAAGCCACTTCACAACTATTAGAAAATGGCTACAATCAAAGAGTGTGATGCTATCCACTCCTGTCAAGGATAAAGAGACATTAACCTTCGTATTTTGCTGGTGGGAATATAAAATGATACAGGCTATTTGGAAAACAGTTTGGTGATTTCTTAAAAAGTTAAACATGAATTTACCATTCAACCCAACAACCCAACCCTAGGTATTCACTCAAGAAAAATAAAATCACGTATGTCCACATTTTTGCTCAAGACTTTTGCTCAACTGTTCATACTGTCATAATTCTCAGTAGTCAAGAGGTGGAAATAAACCAAAAGTCCATCAACTGATGAACAGATAAACAAAACATGGTAGATCTATACAATGGACTATTACATAGCAATAGGTATGAAATAATGGTACATGTGGCCGGACGCAGTGGCTCAAGCCTGTAACCCCAGCACTTTGGGAGGCCGAGACGGGCGGATCACGAGGTCAGGAGATCGAGACCATCCTGGCTAACACGGTAAAACCCCGTCTCTACTAAAAATACAAAAAACTAGCCGGGTGAGGTGGCGAGTGCCTGTAGTCCCAGCTACTCGGGAGGCTGAGGCAGGAGAATGGCGTAAACCCAGGAGGTGGAGCTTGCAGTGAGCTGAGATCCGGCCACTGCATTCCAGCCTGGGCGACAGAGCGAGACTCCGTCTCAAACAAAAAAAAAAAAACAAAATGGTACATGTTACTAAATGGTGGATCCTAAAAACATCACGCTAAGTGAAAGCTAAACACAAAAAGCTACATACACTGTGTGTACATACATTACATATATATAAATGTCCAGAAAAAACTAATCTATAAAGGCAGAAGCCTCGCATGGTTGCCTGACGCTGGAAATGCGAACAAGACTGACTGCAAACAAGCACAAGGAAAATCTTTGTATGCTGATATAAATCTTGTAAAATTGGGGTTGTGGTGATGGTTGTGTAACACTGTAATTTACTAAAAATCATTTATTTGTACAGTTAAAACATGTTAATTTTATGACATGTAAATTATTTCTAAATAAAACTACTTAGCCAAATAAAAGGAAAGAAAAGAAAAAGAAAAAGGAGTGCTGAGTTATTTACACAGAAACAATGGGAAACACATACACTTACCGTAACTGGAGCTGGGACTCCACTAAAAAGCACAGGAACTTTTGTCCACATAGGTCAGATGTAATAAACACTTTTGAGGCTTGTGAATTTTTCTCTCTATAATAGATACATTAATAAAGTAACTGTCAGCACTGGTCCAAGAATCTACCACAGTAACTAACTACTAGAAGTCTTTGAGGCCAGGCGTGGTGGCTCACGCCTGTAACCCCAGCACTTTGGGAGGCCGAGGCGGGGGGATCACGAGGTCGGGAGATCCAGACTGTACTGGCTAACACGGTGAAACCCCATCTCTACTAAAAATACAAAATAAATTAGCAAGGCATGGTGGCGGGCGCCTGTGGTCCCAGCTACTCTAGAGACTGAAGCAGGAGAATGGTGTGAACCCACGAGGCAGGGCTTGCAGTGAGCCGAGATCACGCCACTGCACTCCAGCCTGGGTGACAGAGCAAGACTCCATCTCAAAAAAAAAAAAAAAAAAAAAAGTCTTTGAAAATATTCTGCAAGAAATCTAAAAACTACTTAGGTCAAGCAATAATCTTGAAGACACAAACATTTCTAAGAATTAAACTTCATGATCTTTTCAGTTCTTTGATTATGTTCTAATCGTGTTCTAAGATCCTTTCAGTTCTTTGACTATGAACTCATTAGACAGCTTTGTTGGGGAAATCTACAATAAATTTAACAATTACTGATGAACTTTTAAATTACATACAATGTAAGCTAGCTACCTGTAAAGTAATGCAAACTAAGCTACTACTTGTAAAGTAATGCATGCAAACTTGAATTCCTATCCCTCAAAGGGTCAGATCTTTCATAATGCTATTTCTCCTATCTACCCCTCTCTCCTTCTCAGATTATTAGGCCTCCTTCACATCTCTTTTTGAAATCATATCTCTAATTCCCAAACCTTTCCTTCTAAAGTGCTATAGAAGGCCAGGTGTGGTGGCTCACACCTATAATCCCCGCACTTTGGGAGGCCAAGGTGGGTGGATCACCTGAGGTCAGGAGTCTGAGACCAGTCTGACCAACATGGAGAAACCCCGTCTCTACTAAAAATACAAAATTAGCCAGGCGTGGTGGCACATGCCTGTAATCCCAGCTACTCGGGAGGCTGAGGCAGAAGAATCACTTGAACCTGGGAGGGTTGTGTTGAGCCGAGATCGTGCCATTGTGCTCCAGCCTGGGCAACAAGAGTGAAACTCCGTCTCAAAAAATAAACAAATAAAGTGCTACAGAAGACCCATAAATCTAAAAAATAAGAATCTATAATATATTCAACTTACAAATAAGTTTAAAGAAAAATGATTTTTAATTGTAGGATACTTTTATTTTATATATGAGAAACAAACCAGAGACTACTTCAACATTGTATCCACATCTTTACTTTCTTCAGACTACCTATCCCCCATTCCACTCTCTCTAAGACTATGCATTTGCCTTATATTTCAGATAAAACGAGGCTCTAAGCTTTGAGCTCAACCTCCTGCCTTACGTATCTGATCAACCTTCACTTCTTTATCCCAAGGCTAATCTCACCACTTGTGCACCTTTCTGGTTACTTGTTCCATCAATCATTTCCTCTCATCTGCATTTTCAGTGCTTTCCCTTGAGTATAGTCCATTTGCCTACTATTTCACATTAAAAGTCTTAAAATATAAAATGGACTCAACATTAGAGTATATAAAAGACCCTGTCAATTTGACTGGATATAAAACTTGTATTGTGGTTAAGTAAGAAAATATTGAGGGTCGGGGGCACAGTGGCTCACACCTGTAATCCCATTACTTTGGGAGGCAGAGGCAAGCAGATTGCTTGAGCCCAGGAGTTTGAGACCAGCCTGGGCATCACGGCAAAATCCCTTCTCTACAAAAATTACAAAAAGTAGTTTGGCATGGTGGTGTGTGCCTATAGTCCCAGCTACCTGGGAGGCTGAGGTGGGGGAATCATCTGAGCCCAGAAGGCCAAGGCTGCAGTGAGCTGTGATTGAGTCACTGCACTCCAGCCTGAGCGACAGAGTGAGACCTTGTCTCAAAAAAAGAGAAAAAGAAAATACTGGGGCAAGATGTCATGAAAACTAATTCTATTATAGTTCAGCAAAAACAAAACTCTCCTTGACCGAGACTCCCTCTAATTTTGTATCTTCAATCCCACTCAAAGGCAAACTCCTTAAAATAGTCTGTATGCCTATGTTCATTTTCTGAGTCCCCATTTGTTTTTTCTACCCCACTTTCCCCCACCATCCTCCCAGCTTAAAATGCTCTGGCCAAGGTCACCAAGGAACCCACTGCCACCCAGGCACCTCCTCTCTGGGCTCAACTCTCAGAGCCACACTTCACCAGTACCTGGCAATACTGGCATCTCTGTATTCTTGAAATGCTCTCTCTTTTATGTGTTCTGTATTTCCTGCTCCTTCTCCCATCTGACCTCTTTTGCTTTGTCTCTCTGTGCCAGTTTTGTCTCTTTCCATTCCCCAAATCTTAAGTCTCCAGGACTTCAGTTCCTAGCCCTCTTCTAATTCTACACCACTGGATTTTAACTATTAGGAGGCCACAAATCCCTTTGAGAATCTAAGGAATGTTAAAACCCTCTCCTTGGGAAAAGGTCTATATACTACATGTACACACAATTATTGAATACAATAATTCTTCAATTCTAGTCCAATTCTCTTACCTCAATCACCACTTATGAGCTGACAATTCCACATTTATTGTTCTGCTCTTTCTCAGACTTCCAACACACTTATAAAGTGCCTTCTTACCGCTGTCATCAAATAGACCAGAGGCCTAAAGGACAATCAGTAATCTCTCAAGCCTCCTTTTTTTTTTTTTCCCCCAGACTGTGTCTCTGTCGCCCAAGCTGGAGTGCAGTGGTATGATCTTGGCTCACTGCAACCTCCAACTCCCGGGTTCAAATGATTCTCTCACCTCAGACTCCAGAGTAGCTGGGACTACAGATGCACGCCATCACACCTAATTTTTGTATTTGTAGTAGACATGTGGTTTCACCACTTTGGCCAGGTTGGTCTTGAACTCCTGAGCTCAAGTGATCCATCCGCCTCAGCCTCCCAAACTGAGTGACTACAGGTGTGGGCCACTGCGCCTAGGAAGCCTCCTCTTCATTAGCCTTTTCCCTCCCTCTGCACAAACCAGAGTGGGAGTACTTATAATTCCCTAAACACACCACGCATTCACCAGCACTTTTGTTCTGATCTCAGCTGCCATCTGTGGCCTTTCCCAACTTACCTGCCTAGAAATACCTATTCATCTTTCAAAGCCCTACCAGCAAAAGTAGTCCCTCCAGTGTCACCATCCTTCAGTCCCTTTTGAGGACAGGGACAGTGAGTTATCAGATTGTTACCTAGCATATACATTGGCATATAAGTTAACACATAAATTCTTAAAGAGAATATAAAAGAAGAAAGGTCACCCAGAACAGAGATCTAAGCTATGTTTCCCAGAAAGTAAAGCTGGCACTCAACTAATATGAACATAAAACTTAGGAAACATGCTAAAATTTCCTCATTGATAGAAATTGTTTCTCCCGGCCGGGTGCGGTGGCTCAAGCCTGTAATCCCAGCACTTTGGGAGGCCGAGACGGGCGAATCATGAGGTCAGGAGATCGAGACCATCCTGGCTAACACGGTGAAACCCCGTCTCTACTAAAAAATACAAAAAACTAGCCGAGCGAGGTGGTGGGCTGTCTCTTATACACATCTAGATGTGTATAAGAGACAGCTGCACTCCAACCTGGGCGACAGAGCGAGACTCCGCCTCAAAAAAAAAAAAAAAAAATTAGCCGGGTATGGTGGCGGCATCTGTAGTCCCAGCTACTCCGGAAGCTTAAGCAGAAGAATGGCGTGAACCTGAGAGGCGGAGCTTGCAGTGAGCCTACATTGCCCCACTGGACTCCAGCTTGGGCAACAGAGCAAGACTCCGTCTCAAAAAAAAAAAAAAACAACTGATCATATTAAAAGGAAACTTTAAACAAAATGCCATATATTTCCCAAGACTTTTAGCAAGATTTTTCTTTGAATACAATAATATATACAACGAACCTTATATTAATCATCGTTTCTGTCCACAAATGGTCAATACACAGTTCAGGAACAATTGGCTCAGTTTCTGGTGCAAGAAAGGAGCCATTAGAATTACTGTTTGGAGAATGAGAAATACTGTGTCTCTTTGGAGACTGATTATGGCTTGAAATGTTGAACCTTTGCACCCCTGAAAAAGAGTGCACCCCTAAGGCAGGAGAATGAGCACGACTGCAAAATAAACAGAGGACAGAGTACATCACAGTTAGCAGGGCAGGCTTCTATGACACACACTCCAATGACACTTCCCAAAATTCCACAGACAGAAGAGCATTCATGGCATAATCCAGGTCAGAAATTAAAATTTTTCAAAAAGGAGTAGCTATTTAAATGGTTTATGTCAATGTGCTTTACTATATTCCAGATTTAGAATTCTTATTAGAACTCATCTTTTAAAACTAAAACTTAGATCATCTTCTTTTTCAGAAAATGAACTGATTATTCAAAAAGCTCTAAACTATGTCCCTGTATAGTCAGACATATATATATATCAACAAACCAATGTCCCTGCAGCACCAGACATAGATAGCTGGTGATTTAAACATATATCTATATAGAGGACAGATACATTTAGGTACCAAATAACAAAGAAAAAGAAAAAAGAAAAACGAACAGAAATTAAGGCAAAAGTAAAATAGTGCCACAATATTTTGGGAATTAATATTCATCAAACTGTTGCCCACACAGTGGTAGAAACAAGGCAACTAATCTTAGGACGAGCATAGGCAGCTTCAAAATATGACTCAGGAAAGAATGTGGCAGCTTCAAATACGACTCAGGAAAGACACATTCGAAAGAATGTGGCATGGTAAACTTAGCTATCTTAGTAAAAGTGGCTCAGGGCTGGGCGCAGTGGCTCACGCCTGTAATCTCAGCACTTTGGGAAGCCGAGGCGGGCGGATCACAAACTCAGGAGATCGAGACCATCCTGGCTAACACACTGAAACCCCGTCTCCACTAGAAATACAAAAAACAAACAGGCCGGGCATGGTGGCCGGCGCCTGTAGTCACAGCTGGAGGCTGAGGCAGGAGGACGGTGTGAAGCCGGGAGGTGGGGCTTGCAGTGAGCCGAGATCGCACCACTGCACTCCAGCCTGGGTGACAGAGCGAGACTCCACCTCGAAAGAAAAAAAAAAAAAAAAAAAAGTGGTTCAATTGGGATAATGGCTATTTCCCCTAAAAAATATCTCCCCTAAATATATTTCCCCTAAAAAAAGCTGTCAACAGAAATTCTAAATCCTTCAAAACAAAAGAGAAAGCTTAAAAAGAAAAACCAGGAAACCCTTCTACCTTAGAGCTGCCATGTTGGAAATAGAAGGTGAGCGAGAATGTAGACTGGGTGATGAGGTTGAGCGACTTTGACTGTGAATGGAGGAGTAATTCTGAAAAGGTGAAGTCACAGGGGAATCTCCTTTGGAGAGGCTTCTGAGATGTGCTGTGAGGGAGCTGCTAGTGGCCACATTCTGTGGGGTTCCCCCCTGTTCAGAGAACTTTAAAACAACATTCTCTTCCTTAAGTCAAAATAAAGAGAAAAAGGAAAAAAAAGACAATAATTAGAATAAAATAGCAATTTCCTTGTAAGAATGCAAGCTGAAGTCAGTTACTAAAGATACAGTATTTCTTCTTTCCTAAGAAGCTCAATCTGTTTCTCAAATGAGGCCAGGTGCAGTGGCTTACATTTATAATCCCAGCACTTTGGGAGGGTGAGGCAAGAGGATAGCTTGAGCCAAGGAGTTCAAGACCAGCCTGGGCAACATAACAAGATGCCATTTCTACAAAAAATTAAAAATTAGCTGGGAGTGGTGGTACACACTTGTAGTCCTAGCTACTCAGAAAGCTGAGGCAGGAGGATCACTTGAGCCCAGGAGTTCAAGGCTGCAGTGAACTATAATTGTGTCATTATACTTCAGCCTGGGTGACAGAGTGAGGCCCCATCTCTAAAGATGATGATGTGATGATGATGATGATGATGATGATAATAACAATAAAACAACTATTCACAAGTGATTTTTCAAAAAAAAAAAAGTGAGGGTA